AAAAATAACAACACTTTGTCAGGACCATGAGGCGATCATTCCTACCAACTTTCAGTTCAATCGGTCCAGCAGAACTTGACTTTAAGTTTGAAATAGGTTTTCAAAATGGCGGCCGTGGCGGCCATATTGGATTTCTGATCGACCCGAAAAATAACAACACTTTGTCAGGACCATGAGGCGATCATTCCTACCAACTTTCAGTTCAATCGGTCCAGCAGAACTTGACTTTAAGTTTGAAATAGGTTTTCAAAATGGCGGCCGTGGCGGCCATATTGGATTTCTGATCGACCCGAAAAATAACAACACTTTGTCAGGACCATGAGGCGATCATTCCTACCAACTTTCAGTTCAATCGGCCCAGCAGAATTTGACTTTAAGTTTGAAATAGGTTTTCAAAATGGCGGCCATGGCGGCCATATTGGATTTCTGATCGACCCGAAAAATAACAACACTTTGTCAGGACCATAAGGCGATCATTCCTACCAACTTTCAGTTCAATCGGCCCTGCAGAACTTGACTTTAAGTTTGAAATGAAAAATGTTAACGGATGACCGACGACGGACGAATACGGATAGCAATAGGTCACTTGAGCTAAAGCTCAGGTGACCTAAAAATCAAATACTGAAATGAACAAAGGGCAATAACTTTTGGAAAAATTGTTGAATCAAAAAAAAAAAAAATTTAAGGGAGACACAACTTCATATCATGATTATAATGTATAATAAGTTTCAAATAGATCGGTCGAAAAATGTAGGAGATTGCCGGACAAAAATCAAATACTGAAATAAACAAAGGGTAATAACTTTTGGAAAAATTGTCGAATCAAAATTCTTTTAAGGGAGACACAACTTCATATCATGATTATGATGTATACCAAGTTTCAAAGAGATCGGTTGAAAAATGTAGGAGATTGCCGGACAAACAAAGTTAACGGCGGCCGGCCGGACAACGCCATACCATAATACTACCATCAAATATGACGGTCGTTAAAAAGAACACTGCCATTCCACCTCCTGATCAGAAACTGATCATCAGACATAAAACACGGCACGATTTTAATGGAGATACACATTTAACATACACAATTATATATTGGTATTACAATTCAGGAATAACTCACCTTTTTGGTGAAATGCTCCTCTTTCTGTCATATGACCTTGACCTACTTCTGGAGCGACTGTAAGACTTCCTGTCAAAATGAGCAGGTAACGAGTTTAAACTCTTTTGCAGTAAACTGCTTTAAATTCAGTGTTGTTCTGTATTACAGTAACTTATGTAAAAACAATTTATAATTTAAATACCATTTGCTTAGGAAGTGTTGCTACCAAACTGCATGCAAGGATTCAATAAATAAATATAAACATAATGAAATAACACTGCCATTATATGCAGTGTTCCTTATGTTTGCCAAAGAACCTTCAATTTCATTTGCATATCAAAATCACTTAATTTTTATCTTCTATTTACTTTAAATGTCTTACAAGCTTAAGACCCTTGGGCTAGTGGACAAATTTCAGAATAGTACACCCCTGTTAAGTTGTTTCAAAGTAATGTATAAAGACTTCATACCTGTCTCTGCCTCCTCTACTCCTGCTCCGTGACCTTCTGAAAATAATAGTTATATAATATTTTAAGTCATTATTCAAGAAATTACAAAACCGTGAAAGCAGAAATCTGAGTCTGCATAAAATGAAATGATTACTCAAAATAACTTATGCTGCACAAAGAAACAGACAATGATTTTTTTTTGGGGGGAAGTCCTTGTTAGAGTAAGACACTGATAAATCTACATATGAGCCCAAAGTCCTATACTCACAGAATTTTTTGAACTTCTTTTAGAATTTCTGGAAATACTTAAATTTAACAGTGTGGGACCCATTAGTTTTAGCAATTAGGAGTTGAAAAGGACCCATGAAAATGAATTGTATATTGATCACTGTAGACATATTTTTTTAATTGTTTGACCCAATAAACAGTTGTATTGTGAGGAACAATCATATTCCCTTTAAAAAATTCAAGATGTCAAAACATTGTTTAAAGTAGTTTTTTTAAAATCATACAAAACAAGCTTTGACAAAACAAGTTTTCCTACCTTCTGCCGTCATTGTTGTAAGGACTCCTTGATCTAGATCGATGCCTGGAAAAGGAATGAAAAAATATTTTAAGTAAATTACAATTGATTGTCACATCCTTCCTTTGATTGTTGTCTTGTTTTCTTCCAAACCTTGAAGTCTAAAGTTTCTGGCATTACCTGGTGTAATCTTAAAATAATGCCAACCAATATCACGACAATTTGATTGACCATGCTATGGCATTTACATAGATATACAATGTAAGTTTAATGCTCAATTCTTGATTTAATACATCAGCCTACAAATGAGCAAGATACATGTACATTTTTTCCCTTTGCTCACTCTTACATGTTGGATCGTATCAATATTTTAATACAATCCATTTCCTTCTTATTAAAATGAAATGTGCCAATACATGTTCACGACGTTATCTAAAAGGTCTGTGTAAAAGACACATACACACAACTGTGTTACTTTCAAATAAACCAATTACAATATTTATTACATAAGGAGTAAAGAAAAGGGGAAGACTCGAATCACAAACATCCTATAAATACTACACTTGTCATTACCTTGACAGGTGTGGGTGTTTCTTCTTTCCAAACACATGTACAGTTAATGAGCAGGAAAGATTTTTGAGAAACACATTACAATAAATGTCCTGTATAAATACAGATTTTACTCAATGCACTTATATACTGTAGTCAATTTGATAAAAAAAACTATTTTACTATCTTTTTTCTATTTGAATGAATTAATATGATTTTGCAAGAATATAGGAAATATAATGTGAAAGTCTGGCAGTGTATATGTGAGTAATGCATTACTATCTCTGAACAAGCATACTGAGTATTGCTGAAGCAATACATGTCCCCTACCGGCCCCCGCAATCTATTAAGATGCAACAGTGACCTCAACCTAGATCCGAGGACCTTGAAACTTGAACTTGTCCAATATATTGATTTTTTTACAATAAGTTGAAGTTTGACTAAAATCCATGAAAGAATGAGGCACTAGAGTGCTGACAAAGATTTTCTAAAATAGTAATAGTGACCTTGTCTTGCCCCGATTACCTTGAAATTGTCCAAGATATTTAAATTCTTTACAATAATGTGAAGTTTGATTAAAAACTAGGAAAGAATGAAGGCGCAAGAGTGCTGACAAACTTCTTCGGACAGACAGCGAGGAAAACTTTAGGTATTCTTGTTTTCTTCTCCCTCCCTGCCA